CCCACCCCTGCACGTAAGGTGGGGCTGCACGTCCTGGGACCACACAGCCTTGTAGGCCCCACTGGCTGCACGTGCATTTACTCTGTCTCAGCCAGAGAATCGGGCCCTCCTCTCGCCCTCAACAGCACGTAGCCTGGTGTCAGGAAAACAGCCAATACTCAACAAGCTACAACTAAATGAGGCAGGAAAGGGGAGGGGACCAAGGATAGCATTGTGTGCAAAAGAGAAAAATGATCTTCACACAGACAATCGGTGTCTCTGTGAGCGACAGAGATCAGAGCACCTATGTGACCCTGAGCGGAAAGATGCTTTGTAAGGAACCCCTGCCTGACCAGCTCTGAGCCTTGGAAAGGTCACAGTGACCAGGACCACCACTGAGTCCAAGCACATCCTCACGGCGTGGTAAGGAGGAGCAACAGATCCTACCATCACCCAGATCAATCTCAGACGTTTTACTCCAAACTCCTCCAACCATCAACTCCCCCTACCTCCTGCACTCTTCCCAGCTCCTTCCATTTCTTCCAAAGCTAACCCCCTCCCTGGCCTTCCAGCTCTCCTCAGCCAAGGCAACACTGCCTGTGTGTCCTTTCTAGGCTATTCTCCTCCAGCTTGGCTCACGGCCCGATTCAGGGCTCCTCCAGGAAGACCTCTGAACCAGAGCAGCACAGCAACTGCCTGCCTGGTGGGCATCTCACGCTCTCGCCTCCCTGACCTCTTTGCTCACTCCGCTTTCCCCCTTCTGCCCCTCCAACTCCTGCACGTTTCCTCTCCCCCTTTCCAGCTTTCTTCCCAGCCGCTCAGTCTCAGGCCTGCCATTGGTGCCCAGGCGTTATTGAATCCCACTGACTCAGAGCTGAAGAAGCTGCTGGCCTCTGATCGACGACACTGACCCAAACATGTACTTATTTACTCACTCCACTACTTATTTACTTTCTGATTTGTTGGTTTTGCTGGTTCTTTTCATTTCCAAGAAACCAAAGGACTTTCCTGTTTCTGACATTTGAAGCCCTTCCAAAGCGACCCTGGATGAATGCCTTTCACTCTTCTCCATCTTGCTAGAAGGTGGGGAAAACTGTCCTTTCACCAGCCTGGGATGATAAGGCAGGTCTAAAGCTGGGGAGGCACAGGTTTCTACCTAAAAATTGCCCAGCAATACTTTCTGGAGACTCAAGAAGTACCTATGAGACATCAGAAGGACAGTGACACAGTATCAGTATAATGGCCTTGACTCACGGACTCCTAGAACTCTCGGTGATCCCGAAACTCCTACTCCCCACAATCCAGTGGCATTTTCCATCTTCACGTCTCACCTCCTTCCTTTCATCATTACCCCATACCTAACCTCCCTGTCCGTCTCCGCCTGCTCTCTGCTGAGCCGGGAACTGAAATAACTTGGCCAGGTCTCTGTCTTCTCAGCCCCATCTGTCCCCACCTCGAGCAGCTCACAAGGCTACATGGCCCTCATCTGACCCAACTTCCCAGGTGTCGCTATGCCGCTCCTCACACCAGTCCTCACATGGCACGTGCTGCGAGGGGCCTTCGTAACCACAAGTCTTCCCACCTGTGGGACCCTTCAAGACCCCCTGTCACTCCTCACCATCAAACACACTGGCTGATGACCAAGCCAAGAGGAAGGCAGAAAAATAAAATATGTGTTCCACAGGTTAAGTGGCACCAGGAAACAGACAAGTTCAGAACACAGGACATTCTTTCAGGCAACTGCTTTGGATGTTTCAATATATCAGTGTCATAGAAACGAATGAACTGGGGGCCAGCAGGTGGTGTAGTGGTTAAAGTGCTGGACTCCCATATGGTCTACTACAGTTCAAGTCCTGGACCCAGCGACTTGAAACTCATGCCAGGCATGTGCACATGCATGCCCAAAATCCCGAGAGGAGAATGAAGGAGAAGGGAAGTGTGGTCATCCCTCCTGGGGAAGAGATTTCTCACTCTCTATTTCTCTGTCTCTCCAGTGAGTGCATGCATCCCTATAACAAAAATCTCTTTAAAAAAGATAAATGAGGGGACCAGCAGTTAGCGTAATGGCTATGTTGCTGGACTCCCACATAGTCGACCGCGGTTTGCGTCCCGGACCCAGTGGCTTAAAACACGCCGGGCGCGTGTGCGTGTGTGCCCAAGATCCCGAGAGGAGAATGGAGGAGAAGGGATTGCAGCGTGGTGGGTGATTTCTCCTCCTGGGGGGTGATTTCTCGCTTTCTGTCTGTCTCTCTCTGTCTTTCTGGCGAGCGCACGCGCCCTATAGCCAAAAAAACTCTGAAAAAAAAAAAAAGATAAATGAATAAACGAGGGAATCTCATTGAGCAAACAGTCTAAACAGCCTTAACCAAATGCAACCTACGAACCTTCATTAGAGCCAGGTTAAAATAAATAAATAAATAAATAAATAAATAAATAAATAAATGAAATGGCTGAAAATACACTTTGCAACAATTCTGGAAACTTGAATATGGGTTAAATGTGACATGATATCCTAAAATCATTTGATTAGAGTTTGTTGACTTGGAAGACTATGCTTGTTCTTCGGGGGTACAAGCTGAAGCGTTAAGTGGCAAAGCGTTGAGATGGCCTGCAACCTATTTTCAATTTAACAGTAAACAAAATAAGTACATACACCTAGAAAGAAACAAGCAATTAAGCCAAATTGTTAACAATCATTAAATCTAGGTGAAGAGTTTATGGATGTGGTGCAATTCTCTCAACTTTTCTGCGTGTGTAAAAATTTTCAAAATGAAAACATGAGGGGGGCAGGGAGCATGAATGTTCCGAACGCTACCACGCCCCTCACTGGGCAGGGGGCCTTTGTACATTGCAAGAGCCCAGATAAGGCGAACAGAGGAGAGTTTTTAAAAGCCTGCCTAGTGTGGGCAGGTATGTCATCATTTCTTTTGCAACAGATATGCCCACTCATTTTATGACCGCTACCAGGAAGAGCAGACGTGGCTCCACAACGCAGTGACAATGGGATGCTATATGCTTTGAATGGGGTGGCAGCGAGGAGCCTAGAATGAAGATTTTACTACTATTCATCTACAGAGTATGTAACATCCCCAGATAATTGAGGGAGCACTATAAAACACCCCTATATTTACTTATGCAAAGCGTACAGTCCTTTGCTTCCCACATGTGTCCATCCTAATGGACACATCACTTTCCCACCCCATGTCCCTGGGAGGCAAGGACAATACCTGCTCAAATCACTGCTCATCCCCAGCATGACACCATAGACACATAAATGTTTAACACGGCAATATAACGTGGATGGTGATGATGTGAAATGAGCAGGTGCCTTGCAGAAAATCAGTCCACACCCTGAAACCCCAACACCTTGGAGGGCTTTGTCACTGTGGCTTCATCTGTCCAGCCCTGTTACCCGCAGGTCCTCCTCCTGGAGCTGTTCTATATACTCCAGCATCTGCTCCTTCTCCTGCTCCCTCTGCTCGGCAAGCAGTGACCGCTCCTCCCGGTTCTTTTCCATCTGTTCCACGATGTGCCGTCTTCCTCTGGGGGTGGGGGGAGAGAGCACCTCAGTGTCTTAGAAACCGAGGCTCCGGGTCACTGCTCCAGTTGCCACCCACCTGACACCCGAGGTAGAAGTATCATAGGAACAATTTGATAAGTGCCTCTTAAACACTGATCTGCTTCCAGGGCTCAAAGACCCTCCCGGAATGTTTTTTCTTTCCTCTGAGCGCCTGGTTCAGAAATCATCCTTCCTGAGATTCCCCTTCCTTATTCACCTGTGCATCCTCATCATAATACACCTTCTTCCTTCCGGCATGTAAAGGGTTTCTGAGGGGCCAGGCAATGATAAAATACAACACTCTTCCAGGCAGACCCACAAGAGAAGGTTGCCGGTTCAAGGGCAGAGACCTCCCCGAGTATTCCAGGCACAAGATGCCCATGACCCAGACTGGCTGAGGCTGAGGGGTGGATCATGGCACTAGGACCATCAGGAAGGCTCTCTCTCCTTCTATCTCACATAGAATAAATAAAAATAAACTTTTTTTATTTTTGGAGAGGTTTTTGCTACAGGGTGTGTGCGCTCGCCAGACAGACAGAGAGACAGAAAGCAAGAAATCACCCCCCAGGGGGGATGGTCATGCCGCAATCCCTTCTCCTCCATTCTCCTCTCGGGATCTTGGGCACGCATGCACACGCACCAGGTATGAGTTTTAAGCCACCGGGTCCGGGACACGAACCACGGTCAACTACGTGGGAATCCAGCGACATAGCCATTACGCTAACTGCTGGTTCCCAATAAAAATAAACTTTAAGGGCCAGCCCCATAGCCTAATGGTTAAAGGACTTGGATCCCACATGACCAAGTGGTTCACGTGCCAGCTCTGGTGACTTAAAAAACATCCCAACCACAAGTGCATGCATGACCAAAATCCCAACAAGATGGAGAAATGGACAAGGGTTTGTGGTATGATCATGCCTCATTGGAGGGTGCGCACTCTCTCTCTCTCTGTCTCTCTGTCTCTGGTGAGTGCACACACCCTCTGGCAAATTAAAAAAATAAATCACAAACATAAACTTACATAAATAAATAAAGGGGAAACCAGCCAGTGAGGTGGTGGTTAAAGCAATGGATCCCACATGGCCGACTGCACGGTTGAGTATTAGACCTGGGTGCTAGAAAAACATGCCAAGTGCATGTGCACGCATGCCTCAAATTCCAAAAGAAGGGAGAAATGGACAGAGGACTGCAATGTGGCCATCCCCCATGGGGGTTGCTCTCTCACTTGCTCTCTCTGTCTCTCTCTGGCGTGTACATGTGCCCTCTGGAAAAACTGATAAATAAATGAATAAAATAAACAAATGGATTCTGAAACCCCAACACCCCCCAGGTCTTTGCAAAGTAACCATCGGAAAGAAGCTAGCTCCACAGAGCTTCCCAAAGCAACGCAGCCCAAAGGACTTCTGATCCCCCTAGTGCTTTTGCTCGCCCAGGGATCCGTCTTCTTGCACACCTCCCAGGTGGGCAACCAACTTTCTTATATCCTATCACACACTTTAACACTGTCGGCTTATGGTAGAGAGTGTTGAGCCTAGGAAATTTCTCCACTAAGCAAGGCCCTAGCGCAGATGTAAAAAAAAAAAAAAAAAAAAGGAGACTGGATTCTCCGATCAGAGTTGCTGGTGACTCCCTTTGTGTTCCTGGGATGTCGATAAACTTGGAAGCATCTCGACCCTGTGATATACAAGTAAAGGCTGCAAGGGTGTGAGAAGACGCAGATCAGGAGAAGAGCAAAGGGGAAGGAGAGTGAGTCACATTCAGACAGAGCGCTCCTGATAGATGGCTTCATGATTCTGGATGAAACAAACAGGGGGAAGGAGTAAGAGCATCACATGGAAACACAATATAAGAAGCACCTGGGAACCAGCAGTTAGCGTAATGGCTATGTCGCTGGACTCCCATGTAGTCGACCACAGTTCACGTCCTGGACCTGGTGGCTTAAAGCTCACGCCGGACGTGTGGGTGTGCGTGCCCAAGATCCCGAGAGGAGAATGGAGGAGAAGGGATTGCGGCGTGGCCATCCCCCCTGGGGGGTGATTTCTCGCTTTCTGTCTCTATGTCTCTCTCTGTCTGTCCGGCGAGCGCACGTGCCCTATAGCGAAAATCTCTCAAAAAAAAAAAGAAGCACCTCAAAGCTCTAGAGCTGCCCATTGGGGAAGAGATCATTCCTTCAGCGGATCATTCAAGCAGAAGACAGCCAGCCACTTAGCCACTAATAAACTACTGGAAGTCCACCACAGCCTCCCAGGTACCCACTAGAAGAACAGGACGAATGGCTCAAGAGGACAAGCACAGCTGTGGAGATAAAACTGCCATTCAGCACGGCACTAGGGCTATTTATAGGGGTGATTCGTATGTCCTAAATCTAGGACACTGTGACTCTATAATTCAACTGTTCTGGGACTCATCTCTTCCTGTAAAATGAAGGGAGGTGGTTGGATTTATTCACTCTTACATGAACTAAGCACCTACAATAAGCCACACACTCAGCAAGGCCAGAAATAAATAAGACAGGGGCCCTGTCCCCAGCGAGAGCACAGTCTAGTGGGGGTCAGAAGCCACAGCATAAGACGTGGTGTGTGAGTGAAAACCCAGGAGTACGGGGCTCGGGGAAGGGAGCCACGAAGCCCACCTGGTAAAGTGAGGAAGATTTCTCAGAGGAGGCGACGACAGTCACTCACCGAGCATTTCCAGCGAGGAAAGAAAAGAGAAAGGTGTTTGAGGAAAAGGAATGGCAAAATCGCAAACTTGTTACAAGGACTGGAATATTAAGGGGAAAGGGGAAAGGACACAGTGGATGGCAGGAAGTGGTAAGAAACGAGACTGAATCCTGAAGGCCAGATGAGTACGGCACGAGATCGTGAAGAATCTGGGGCATGAAGATGAACTTTGGGCCAGCCCCATGGCCTAGTGGTTAAGGGAGTCAGATTCCACATAGCCAGACAGCACAGTTCAAATCCCGGCCCTCTAGGCTTGAAAAATGCATCAGATATGAGTGCATGCATGCCCCAGATCCCAACAAGATGGGGAAATGGAGGAGAAGGGATTGTAGCCTGACCAAGCCCCATTGGGAGGCGCTTTCTCCCTCTGTTGCTTGTTCTGTCTCTCTGGCGAGTGCGTGCACGCTTTGGAAATAGTTTTGTTTTGTTTTGTTTTTCTTTTTTTTAATTCTTTCAATACATAAATAAAAGAAAATGAGCTTTGAAAAGTGTTGTGGTGGGGTCAGCAGGTGGCATGGTGGGCACTGGATTCCCACATGGCCAACCACAGTTCAAGTCCCAGACCTGGCGGCTTGCTTTCTTCCTTTTTCCTTCTCTCTCTCTCTCTCTGGTCAAATTTAAAAATAACAACAAATGGAATTAAATAAATAAGTAATCCTTAAAAAAAATCCTGTGGTTCACACTGGCCAAATATTCAGGCAGCCAAGATCCTAAGGAGCTGAAGGGCTGGGGAAAGGGGATTATGGGGTGACTACATCTTGTCAAGGGTGTCTCTCTCTTTCTCTCTCTCCCTCTCTCATGCACACACACACACACACACCCTATCATAAAAATAAATAGAAGTTCTTGGTCCTAGATATCGCTGCAGAAAGGTTTTGAGATCACCACGGATAAGGATAATGACCGTTTCTCATTAGCAAGACTTCCCTCTTTGCCAGGCTCCACTGACCTGAAGATACATGAAAATGACTTGGCGATGGACATGCCCAAAACACTTATTTACCTTATTCTTTCCTCCCTCCTCTTCCTGTCCAGCTCCTCCTGCCTTTGGATGGACTTTTGCCGCTCCACTTCCATCATCTGATCCAACCGCTTCTCCTCTGCATCCAGTTCTTTTTGGATCTGCTGCTTCTCCAGGATTTGGGCATCCCGGATGGCGTGGCACTTGGCATTGAGGATGATCTGGGGAGTGGAGATGAAACTGTGGCACTGAGCCTGGGAGTGCACAGTGGGGGTGTGGAAGTTTAAGGGGAGACACAGAAGACTCCGGAGTGTGCTGGAGATGCATGTGGCTGGCCCCAAGTGCAGAGAATAAGAAAGCTCTGACTAGGCACCCCCTGAATTAGTTCAGTTCAAACATTTACTAGGAGCCTACTAGGTGCTAGGGTCAAAAGACAGGCCAGGAATATTATCTACAAGGGTACTGAGTCCTAGTGTTTGGGGCTCTCTCTTCCATCAAATTCGCTGACACATACAAGGACGTCAACAGGTTCATCAGAAAATGGAATTCAAGTACAAGTGTATTTTGGTGCAAAATAACTGCGAAACCCATGCATAGGGTTTTCCATGAATATTTTGAAGACTCCCCTCTGCACACCCACAAAATTTCCATAAAACTTCATTGATCTATGGGTTCCTCTTAGGGAACCCACGAAACCCCAAGACAAGACCTTATGTTCTGCTCCTCAGGGAAATAGGCTGTCTTGTAGGGGCCGGGCCACAATTAATAGATTGTTAAGCTGGAAGGGCCCAATGTGACACAAAGGGGATGAAAAAATGACAGGCCTGTCAATCAGAAAGAGCCAAGAAGTAAAAGCTTTGGGAAATAAAAGGAGGTATACATAGGGGAGATTTACCTAAGAGAAAGAAATCAGATGAGTCCACATTTTTCATTTGGACAGGAAGTGAGCCACATGCAAATGAGTTACAAATAGAATTTGAATGAGCCCCGATTCTTTATGCTCTCAGCTAAAAGAAGTGCTTTGTATATATCCTTCAAAAAGGATCCAACTGCAGGGCCAGCAGGTGGCATGGAAGTTCAGGCAACTGGATCCCACATGGCCTACTGCATGGTTCAAGTCCGAGACCCAGCTACTTGAAAATCATGTCAGGCACATGTGTGAGCCTAAATCAGGAGAGGAGACTAGAGGAGAAGGGACTGCGGTATGGCCCTCCTCTTGGGGGTAGGGGAGTGATTTCTCACTTTCCCTTTCTCTCTCTCTCTCTTTTTCTCTCTGGAGAGTGCATGCACCCTATAGCAAAACTAAAAAACCAAAACATAAAATCCAACTGCCTGGACCACCATATGTGGCTAGAATTGCAGGATAAAAATGAAAGTAATACCTTCAAATTTATCAATCCATAGTTCTCAAAGACTCTTCCATAGAGTAATTCATTTAATCCTGCCAATAATTCTGCTAAACAGGGGCTTTTTTGTGGTTTTGTTTGTTTGTTTGTTTTATTTTGCTTTGTTTTGTTTTAAAAGGTTTTTGCCTTAGGGTGCGTGCACTCACTGGAAAGAAAGACAGAGACAGTGAGAGGGAAAGTGAGAAATCACCCCCCCACACACACATGGGATGGCCACACTCTAATCCTTTCTCCATTCTCCTCGAGGGATCTAGGGCACACACATGCCCAAGTGATTTTCAAACCACCAGGTCTGAGACTTGAACCATGGCCGACCAGGTTGGAGTCCAGAAACATGATCGCTACATCATCTGCTGGCCCTTCTGCTAAGCAGTTTTACCATTCTCATTTTACAAAGAAGAGTAAGGCTCAAGGAAGGCAAGTGACTTTCTCAAGGTCTCCCCCAGCCCCCACCCCAGCCCCCGGCTCCAGCAAGCCAACTGTCCAATGTGTGAATAGCCAAGTAGCCAAATAGAATAGCCGGAGGGAGAAGGGAGTGGCCTGAGCCCCCAGAAGGCAGGATGGCTCCACCTTGCTCATGTCCTTGAGCTCCTCCTCTTGCTCCATCCGCAGCTGGTTGGCTCTCTGCAGGAGGTTCTGGGCCCGCTCCTTGGCCTGCTCTTCCAGGTCGCTGAGCTTCTTGTTGTTGCTCCACACCATCTCCTTCTGCTTCATGATCTTCTTGCGTGTCATCACTGCATCCTGAGGGACACCAGTTTGGGTCAGCGTGGGGGTCACAGCCTGGGCAATCGCCTGGCTGCTGCCGGTGACCCAGTATGGTGTGCCCCAGCCCATGCCATCAGGACCACAGAACATCACGGCCTGCCTTCCTTCTCCGTGGGCCCCACCTGCTGCCGTATCACGGGTGTTTTCTCTCTGGTCTTCATACTGCGGTATTTTTTCTTTATTAAGCACAAATTCAGACCTTGTTTCAGGACCCCCTGACTAGAACTCCCACCATCATGAAAAGTCAGCCTCCCTCCACCTCCACACCCTTCTCTTCTACCCCAGTCTGCAGAGGTCAAGGGTTGGGGAAGTTAAATACCAAGATGGCTTCCTTCTCTTTCTTGAAGGCCTGCTCCTTGGCTTCGATTTCTTCTCTGGTCAGGATGTGGGACGCCCATTTGATTCGCTCAAACTCCTCAGGGCTGATGATTAGGGACTCCCCGGAGGGATCCTCTGTGGGAACACTGACACAGGAATCAACAGAGTCAGGGAGGGGAGAGGCCGCGCGCTGGGCACTGCACTGCAGGCTTTCTGCTCTCCCCACCTCCGTCCCTGCATCGCGGCCCTCTGGCATGCTCGGCCAATGGCAGGAGAGACTGCAACTGCGCTGTGGGTCTCTGGGGGGAGGACTCTGGGTGATGATCTGGTCAAAAAGAGACATCTGAGGTCCTTGCTCGATAAGGCCCGGCTCGTGTGATACCCTCTCCGTGCTGCTGTCCAAGGCCCTGCCCTGTGTTTCCAGGTGCCTGTCCTCGTCATCCCCTCCTCTGAGCCCCCACCGCATCTGACCCTCTGCCTGCATCGTGGCGACTGAGCTGACTCTGTATCCTTCACAGAGCTCCTCAGGACACAGGCCCTGCCTTAACCACACAGGGAGCCTCGTCTCTGACACAAGTGCCTCGCTCCGAAAGGGCCTCTGAAACAAAGCTGCCGAACTGAACTTTAAAAATAGGTTATTCCTTGAGAATGACATAAAAAGGTCAAAGAGACGCCAGACAAGGCTGAGATGGATGCTCATGAGAAACCTAAACATTCCTGTCCATCCAGCCTAGAGTGAAGCTTTGAACCCTAAATATTAATTAAAATCTCTGATCAACAACAGTCAAAGACATGTCTATAGACCCCTCCTTCCTAGCTGCCCAACGCATTTAACAAACCAATAGCTAATTATAATGATTACAAACAAATGACACACAGTAAAGATGGGGGAGGGAACAGTTGGGGGGTAGGAATAAAGCTGCTTCTGGGTGAGGCTATTTAACAGGTACGTGGCAATGAGACGCAGACAGTCCGAGACAGGAAGTGAAACCTCATCTAATAAAACTAGTGTGTTGGGGGAGGACGGGTCCGGGAGGCGAGTGGAACGAGTGAGTGGATTTGCGGCTTAGCCAAGCCCTCCTGGCTTTCCGAGTGGCATCTGGAGTGACCAGCAGGGGTCTCAACCTGAGACAGCGGCTCAGTCTGCTGGAAGCCACTTGCCCTCCACCGTGTTTCAGGGCCTGACCGCTCTGAGAAGGAGCCCTCTCTCGGCCCCGGGAGTGGCTGCTTGTCTGGCTACTTGATGTCGGCTGGCCAGACAGAGCTCAGTGAGGGGCTGCAGGCAGGCCCAGCTCCCCTGCTGTGTCCAGCTGTGCCTCCTCAACTCTTGACACGGTCTGGATTTTCTGAGAATCCTAGTTTCTAGCGGGTGGAGCCTGAGGACAGAGAATAGCTCCTGTGAGTGAAACACTAACGCAAGCGCAGGACCACTGCACGGTGTTGGCTCATGGCACGGTGCTGAGCTGGGCCTAAACCCCACAGGGGGCCCACGCAAGGGGGCAGCTCTGGGCGGGAAGCAGGGCTGAGCTAATCCCAAAGGAACCCAAGGAGCCCCTAAGAATTTCCTCTTATGGCCTTAGAGTCTGGGAAGAAGCCAGGGGGCTAATGAGGCATCTGGTCAGTTTCCCTTTGCTAAGGATTCTTTACGCAGCCGAAAGGAAGTGACTCATCTGGATCGCTTCCCTTTACCAAGCACACTAATGGGGACCCACTAGGCACCGCCCTCCACAGTCCCTCAGACCTCAGAGCCAGACAGAAGAAAGGCAGGAGGAAAGACAAAGGGCAATGGCAATAATAGACACCAGGGGGAGGACCCAGACAGGCCACTACAGAGAAGAATGAACGGACAATGACACAGGGAAAACGGATAGGAAAGGAGTGGGCGTTGGGCCAACAGAGTGACCGCAGGTCTCAGCAGAAGTGCGGGCTGACAAGGGCAAGCAGGGGACACTCACACGAGTTCCCGGACCATGTCCCGGGTGATGAGCTGGATGGTCTCCGGCTTACGGTCCCAGGCCAGGGCGTTGAGCGTTTTCCGAATGGTGTGCCTATCTTGGAGCAGCACGATGGGGCTGTCGCTCGGGCTCCTTCCATGTGCCAGGGGCTATGAGGTTAGGGAGGACAGCTTGGAGGCTGCACATCCCACCTCCTCCTGGTCATGGGAACTTCAAGTACAGTCTCCGCTCTCCTAGGGTTTCCATCCAGTGTGGGAAGTGAGCAAGGCGGGGTGGGGGGGGGGGTGTCTAGCTGGGGCTCAGATTGCCACCGGCCCAGACTGTGACAAGTAGCCAGGGCACGGAGAAAGCAACCTGGAGCGCTTGTTCTTACGTGGGCCATGCTCTCATAGGAGGGTGGGGATCATGGTGAGGGAAGTATAGGCATGTGTCTACACTTGGTCTGAAATCATGGAGAATGAAAAGTAAATGGGAGGGAGGAGCTGAGGGCAGTGGTGGTGCAGTGGTATCAAAACTGGACTCACGTGAGAAGGTCTTGGGTTCAAGTACTGGGACCTCCATATATGCAGGACATGTGCATGTGTGCTCATACCCAAGCGGGCTGAGACTCGGGGAGATGGTACTACAAGGACCCCACTGGGAAGTCTTTCCTGTCTTTCTTTCTTTCTCTTTCTCTCTTGCTCCCTCGTGCAAGAAACAAATAAGCTTTCAAAAGAAAATAAAAGTAAAATTGGGGTCTTGAGGTTTTCCTCTCTCCATGAAATGATCTCCTTTATAAAAGAAAAAAATAACTACCTTTCTTGGATCCCACTGTGGGACTGAAGCAATACACTTTGCTATAGACAATACAATCTAGGATATCAGTAACTTTTATTCCTAATAATTAATTCACTTTGAACACACACACAAAAGCCATATGGAAGGAGTTAGAAATTGCTCCACGGCCTGATAGAGACTGTCCTTACAACCTACTGTGGTGAGGTCACACAGATTAGATATGTGATTGTTTTGAAACCATGAAAGAGTTAGATTATGAGAAAATAAAGTCACTTCTTTCAGGAGATTTCTGGGCACAGTGAGAATTTCATTTGTTGTAAATGCAGCCACTGATCCCGACTCCGGGCAGGACGCCGCCTTGCCTGTCCTGAGAACTTCATTTGGCACGGCTGTCCCCCCCAGTGCTGCCCCCTAGTGTTCATCTCTGCTTCAGAGCCGGCACACCTCGGCCATGCCACAGGCCACTCCTGCCCCCTACTGCCGCTTCAGAGACTTCCTGGAGCTCGCCTAGCAATAAAGCCAAAGAAACTGGGCACTTTACTGACTGGCCCCCTTTGGCTGGCCAGCATCCTGGCTATTTCCAAACCTCTCTTTGCTTTTGCCGGAAAACTCCGCATGGACTTCAGGCCAAACAATGTCTCTAAGTGAAAGTGCATTCCTTTCATTCTTCCCCTTATCAGTGGGAAAACTGCTGCAGAGTGGGAGTCCACTAAGTGAAGATGCCGATTCTTGCACCCTCTGGAAAATCCTCTTTGAGTCTCGATGAGGATGGCGAGGAGCAGGGACTGACATCAGCTCCCGTCTCCCAACCCGCCTGCTGCCAGAAGTACTCATGCCACCCACTGTATCCTCCTTCTCGCTCTCCTCTTTCTCTTCGTCTCTAGCTGCCCCTCTCTCCGTGTCTCTCCATGTCTCGTGCGCTTTTCTCCTTCCCTCTCTCTGCCTCACCCACTGAACTTCACGCGTGGCAAAAGTATTCGAAGCAATTGTCTAGCTCTCCTTTTCTAGCCCAAAGGAGTTGTCAGCCTTAGTCTAGATGACGCTTGCAAGTACAGACCCACTCGTCTTCCAAAGCTAAATCATTGCTAGAGCTGGACTGGGGGAAGAGGGCGGTCCTGGGCCTCCTGGGTTGCTCTTCTTGGTGGGAAGGGGAGAGTCACTGCTCTGGGATGGCGGGCAAGCCCCTCGGCCTACAAGCAAATGTCTGCCCGGACAGCTTTCACTGAGCAACGGTTGAGCTCTCTGCAGCCGCCTCCCCCTTTGACGTTGCAGTCTTAAGTGCTGTGAAGACAGGTCAGAGCCCTGCAGCTCAGGCCTCAGAAGCCCTTTTGTGAGAGTCGCACAGCCCAGTGTAAGCTCGGTCCCAGCAACACTAGTCTGGGCCACTGCCCCCAGGGGGCTGCTACCTGGAGGGGCACACAGGGTTACCTTGATGCCTCCAAAGAGGCTTTCGTCCACCTCAGAGCTCACGGCTTTGGTCCGGTAGCGAGTCCTATTCTTCGACCTGTTGGAAGCAGTAGAAGCGGAGCTCAGGATGCCAGTCGTGCTGAGTGGCTGCAGGAAGAGGCAGGAAGTTTGGGTCATCAGTAGTGAGTGGCATCCAGGCCCTGGCAATAAACACCTCTCCAGCCACTGCTGGGGCCATGTGGGGAAACCACATGGGGAAAGCTCCTGGGCAAACCCTGAGACATGGGGAGCAAGCGGCAGCAGGTGAATGACAACCCACAGAAGAAGGGCGTCTCTGAGCAGGGGCAAGGCACAAGAGCTCTACAAGGGGCATTTCCGTAGTCCCTGGAGCTGAAGACGGCCAAGTCAGTCACGTGATATAGAAGACAGGGCAGAGGAAACAGGGACGGCGGGAGGAGAGGGACAAGTTCCACCTCATCTGCCTAGTCCCAGTCACCCACAAGGACGGCCTCTAAATGAGGCTACCCTCCCCAAGAATGCAGTGTCCTCTTTACCTCTAGTCTTCTCCACCTGAGCTCCAAGTCCCCCCTCACAAATGACACCACTTCCTGACCTCCTTCATGTCCCCGCAGTCACAAGGTTATGGTGAAGCCGGAGGATATGAGGATGGAAAAGTACCTCCCCTCCTGCTTTGGCATGTGGTTGATGGCTAGTAAATATTTTTTTAAGATTTATTTAACTTTACTTTATTTACTCATTCATTTATTTTAATTTGACCAGAGACACAGAGAGAGAGAGAGAGAAAGTGCAAAAGCAAGCTACCAGATCTAGGACTTGAACCGTGGTCAGTCATGGGGGAGTGTCCAGCACCTTACCCACCATGCCACCTGCTGGTTCCCGATGGCTAGAAAATTTTAGACGAGGATGAGTGGTGGCTGACAGCTGCCATCAAATAGCCAGTTCATACTATCCACTATATGGCTCTTTCTCTCCCAGGCCCTGCTCTGTGTGTTAGCCAATTTTTTGTTTATTTATTTTTGCTATAGAGTGTTTGTACAAGACAGAGAGATAGAGGGAAAGTGAAAAATCACACCCAACCTCCCCAACAGGGGATGGTCACACTGCAACCCCTTCTCCATTCTCCTCTCAGGATTCTGGACATGCACTCATGCACTCAGTGTGTTTTTCATGCCTCTGGGTCCAGGACTTGAATTGCAGTTGGCCATGTACAATTCAGCAGCCTTAACCACCATGCCACCTGCTGGGCCTCCATTAGTCATTTTTTAACTCCCTGGTATCTTCCTATGTCCGGCAAATTCTCTATCTAAGGGGCGCATGACCTGCTACCAAAACTAAAAACCCTCGTTATTTGCCTTCCCAGGCTGGCCAAAGAGATCACCCGGTCACAAAGACTAGGAAACTAGTGACACAAGAAGGGAATCCTTTCTGGCAGAGACAGCGGTAGCAGCCATACCAGTGCGTGGGATGACACAGATGAGGACAGTGTTCGGGCACAACCATGTATCAAGGGTCCTTGCCAGACCAGCTCTAGGTTTTGATCTGGGCCTTGGTTCCAGCTACAGAGTCTCGTTTGCTTCCCTTTTCCAAGCCCAGTTTCCCAGCTTTGGTGTAAAGTTTGTGAGCTCTCCAAATCCTTTTATTTTTTTCTCTTAAATTTTGCCAGAGAGCAAACACACTCACCAGAGCAAGACAGAGGGAGAGGGAGAAAACAGCCCCGATGGAGTGTGGTTACATGGCCTTTCTTTCTCCTCTACTTTTCCATCCTTTCATCCAGTGTGCAGTTGTGTTTTTTTTTGTTTGTTTTTTTTTTTTTTTTTGTAAGTTTTTTCTAGAGGGCACATGTGCTCGCCAGAAAGACAGAGAGGCAGAGAGATAGAAAGCGAGAAATCACTCCCCAGGGAGGATGGCCACGCCGCAATCCCTTCTCCTCCCTTCTCCTCTCGGGATCTTGGACACGCGCGCACATGCACCCGGCGTGAGTTTAAGCCACCGGGTCTGGGACTCGAACCTCAGTCGATTACATGGGAGTTCAGTAACATAGCCATTACGCTAACTGCTGGTCCTGATACTTGCTTTCTAAGTTGGCATTCTAGCTCTGGGGCTTATAACCAAGAACCCTGACTACACAGTCTCTATTCCCAAAGGTCAGTCTAGCTTCAGCTCAGCCCCAAGGGTAGAAGTCTGTCTCCAGGAGATAGTTTCTACAAGAAACTTTCTGGATGATTATAAGCTTAATCGAAAGCTGATTCAAACTTCACTTTGGAGGGGTCCATGCCCCACTTGTCCCCTCCCCCACCCTGCACACACGCGCGCACACACAGCTCTCTACGCTATCAATAGTTACCTTTGGGCAATGGGCTAGACACAGTGGGTCTTCCCCAAGCCTTCAAGGCAGCTGCCATTAAGAGAACAGGGTCAGGGAACCAGCAGTTAGTGTAATGGCTATGTTGCTTG